GCATGGAACTTCAGCCCTCATGAACAATACTTACCCTTAAAATGTTCCAAATTGTTATATTGCCTTTGCTTCTAATGCATTTAAACAGATTTATACATTGATCATTAATTTATATTTCTTTGTTGTGTGTCAATTGTCTTTTTATTTACTGTCCCATTTTTATTTTGGTGATTAAAGAATGGTATATGAGAACATATTTTTCCCCAGGCTGTCAGTTGATTTTATTGTTTCAAGTAATTTTTCTTAAACATTTAAAAAATTTACTGTCAATTTTATGCATCTTTTTCTTTGTTTTCTGCTTTGGATTAATACTTTTGTAAAGTATGTAAGAATACATCTGTGGTTTAATTTTTCATCTTTCACATCTAATCTATTTGCCATTGATTCTGATACATGTATGAAATAAAAATTGAATTTTAAATGATGAGGTCCAGCCGGGAGCTGGTGGCTCATGCCTGTAATCCTAGCTATTCAGGAGGCTGAGATCTGAGAATCGCGGTTCAAAGCCAGCCCGGGCAGGAAAAGACCGTGAGACTCCTATCTCCAATAAACCACCAGAAAACCGGAAGTGGCGCTGTAGCTCAAGTGGTAGAGCCCTTGCCTTGAGCTGAAGAGCTGAGGGACAGCGCCCAGGCCCAGAGTTCAAGCCCCACAACCGACCAAAAAAAAAAAAATATTTCGGAATTAAGAATAATGTTTCCACCACTGATTTTAAATCATAAAGCTATGGTGACATGTAGCATGACAAAGACATGAGCGGATGTGTTTGGAAAGTCTGGGGACACATCCAAATAAAAGTAACAATTTAATACACGATAAAGTATGTTTTTTAATTCAGTGGATAAATGAGAAATTATGCAGTAAACATTGGGAAAACTGGACCTCATCTTTTTTTTTTTCTTTTTGTCAGTCGTGGGGCTTGAACTCTGGACCTGGGCGCTGTCCCTCAGCTCTTCAGCTCAAGGCAAGCGCTCTACCACTTGAGCTACAGCGCCACTTCCGGTTTTCTGGTGGTTTATTGGAGATAGGAGTCTCACGGTCTTTTCTGCCCGGGCTGGCTTTGAACCGCAATCCTCAGATCTCAGCCTCCTGAGTAGCTAGGATTACAGGCATGAGCCACCAGCGCCCGGCTAATTCCGAAATATTTTTATTAGGCTTTTTAAAAACTAAAATTCAGAATAATTTTATTAGTTGAGTCTACAAATCTCTGTTGAGTGGATATTTTGTGAGAAGTCTTGTGTACAGTGTTGGGATTGTTGAAAATTTCAGATAGACAACCCCACTCTTCTGATGCCAAAATTTCACTTCTAAAGATCCACTTAGACTTTTGATTAGTGTATGAATCTTACAAAACAAGTTAGAGGAGAATGAGAATTTTGTAATATGAACATTTTTTGTGAAAGTTGCAATTCTACTTGAGACTTAAAAAATATCCTACTAATTTTATCTTATTAAAATGCCAAATATCTTATTGGCATTCCAATGTATCTTTTCTTATACTGTTACTATGAATGTGATAGTTACTTTAGTAATAGGGCTTTTTAGCCTATAGGAAACCATATTCTTAGTAAATGTATAGTTATTTTTTCACCCTACACCAATTATTAAATTGTTAAATAAATAATCATTTTCTATGCTGATGTTTATACATCTTTCCAATATTCATACCTTAATTATTTTCTCATTGGGTTGTATTAGCTAGAATGTAAACAAAAATGTTGCTATTACTGGAAATAATTCCATAATTAGCTTGCTCTCCATCTCAGTTTTTCAGTGAAGTAAAATGTCCAGAGAGAGAAAAGGACAAAAGTGTCATGGTATTATTAATTCACTGGGATGAGAGCTTGAGTTCTCATCTGAATTCACATTATCTTAAACATTTAGTATGAGATTTCTCTATTATTTAAGTAAAATATTACATTTCATTTTGATGTGTATGATATAAATAATAAAATATTTCAATATTTGTCTTCATTACACTCAAACTCTAGATTGTCATTTCATGATTTGGCAGGTCAGGAAATTGCCTGTGTCTCTGAAACTAGACTAACAAAATATATGTTACTTTAAGTACAAAGAACATAGGATTATTTTTCTAAGGGTCATTTTTGTAAAGGACAGCAGTTCATAGATTAAGCTAAATATCAGCTATCATTGTCCTCTTTTCCAAATTAAAAAAATAAGCAGCTGATATTAATGGTTCCATTCTAAATATTAGAGAATATGCTCCATAGAATGGATTAGTGAGAACTATGCAGGTAAAGGAGGTATGAGGTGCAGATTTTGTCCTTGAATAGAAACAGCTCTGTGTAGAGGTAATGCTTATATTGCTTTGTTATTTGCACATGTTCCTATTGCATATTTTTAACAAAAATTAAATTATATTTTCTATAACCTTTTGCCCTCCCAGAGTAATGCTACCAATGTTTTTGTGAAATTGCTACTTTTTTTTAAAGGAGAATTATGTCTTCTTTTGGTTGAAACAAAAGGAAATCTAACTCAGTTAGTGAATCATATAAAAATGGGTATCCCACTTAAGTTAATATGAGTTTTAATTTTCTATTATAGGTGGCAACAAAATAATTCATCAAATAAATCTATTCTATTGGAGATGAAAAATGCTGTAATGTCCTTATAGAGAGTTTTATTTAAATTACGTAATTGGAAAATAATTTGTACAAGCCCACACATTTCTAACTTGGACATTTTATGGTATAGATCAATTGATTAAAATATTTTTGTTTTCTCAGAATTCTCTTGGTATTTCATGGGAAGGAGTAATATTTTTTCCTGCATTGGGATAGCTATTACTGGTTTATACATTCTTATAGTTTCCAACAGGAATCTCTGTCTGTCTGTCTGTCTGTCTCAAATAGATATTTATGCTAAACATGGTATAAGCAATTGATTTCATCGGCAGCACTTAAAGTTCAAACCATTCCAGTTATTGTCTTGCAATGGGAAAAATTATGCTTTATTGCATATGCATGGGGAACATTAATGATCTTTGCTCTATTTTTCATGACCGCATATAATTCTTCCAACACAAGCAGCACATACAACTGAGGAGAGCAGTTTAGCCAGGAGCAAATCTATTAGTAATTGAAGAATAAGCCAAAGTAAATGTGATGCAAACATTTGTGCAGAGAAAAGAATGCAAAAAATTCTGGGACAAAACATTGGTTTAAAATAATTTTGAAGATGAAATATTGTTCTTGTAAGTGCAGTATGAAAAGTTGATATGTGTAGTACAGATGTTAACATTTTAAATCCAAGATTCATCTTAACTCTACACTTTACTAACTTAAGGATGACTTTGAAATAAAAGCATTTTGTCTAGAGAAAGTGTATGAATGGAACTTCATACAGCCAGAACATGGCTTGTAATAGCATAGATTTAGAAACAACACAGCAATATATGCAATGGAAAAACAACTTTACAAGATGGCAGGTCAAACAGAATTTAGAATACTTGAGTTAGCTATACAAATACAAATAAAGATAAATATCCAAAACACAGTGCTAAATTAAAAAAATTGTAAGGACCAGAGTACAATTTATATAAAATTTGAAGTTTCAAAATGTTTCTAGTTCTATACTTTAAAGGTGCATGGTTGCATTAATAAAAATATGAAATGCAACATCCTAAGCAATTATTCTTGCACTGACCTATTTTTAACACATTTTCTTTGCTAAAACCACAATCTATTAATATATTATCTCTGGGTAGAAAGTGAGCAATTTTCTTTGCAGCACCTGTCTGCCTAATGTAAATCAAACTCTTAAAAAATGGCCATTGTAAGAGGAAAAATTACAATATTCCATGTTCTTGAGGTTTTTGTTAAATGTCTGAATATTTTTCTACATTCAGAGCCTTGGTTTACACAGTTATGAAATGAATATTGTGTATACAAAGTCAGTGGTTAGTCAATGACAGCTATATGTGGGTTACATTTCCTGTTGTGGATGAAATTGATGTTAAAATGTGGTCATCTATTGAGAATGATGACATTGGGTATTTGTGGTTAATAAAGGCTGTAGAGAATGGAAAACAGAAAACTAAGGAGTGAGACGGCAATGCTGGGCAATATTGGTGGAAATCAGACTTATAAATATCCGTTTGAAATGAAGCCAATTAGAATAACATCATCAACTTGCAGACCCCATTTCACTGGTTTATTATTATACAAATATGGGAGTAAGTGTCTTTCTCATATGAAGGCTTTTCAAAAGGATGGGTAAGAATTAGTCCTTCTGGGTTTAAATCTATTCCTACATATGCAGAAGAAATTGTAATTCATTTCAATGGACAATTTCATTTAGTAGGTGATTAAGGACTTTTCAAGAGTTGATGCGATATTGGAAATTGGCTTAAGGTGGAGTATTTCTAGAACACCCCTTCACCAAAGTCTATCACAGACTGGCAAAGGAGTGGTATCAAAAGTGACTAACTTAAACCACCAGTGGTGCTGGCATGTTAGTGCTTGCCTCAAGCAGCTAGGTTTCTATGGAAAATAAAGCCATTGCTCAAAGCACCTTTCAAATTTCTAGTTTGAAGTTATATCAAGTCATTTCAATCTTCCATTCCTTCATCTGCAAACTGAAAATAATATTGTCTACTCTGATTCCCAAAGTTGTTATGAAACTAAATGGGAAATATTTAGAATCCTTTTACTTCTGTGTAAAAGATACTACTAATTAATAAAGTACACTAGAAAGTACACTTTACATGACAGCTACAATTTATTCACCTTTTTATTAAATATTTTATACATAAACTTGTGTCCAAATTACTTCTGCTACAAATAAAAAAATCAAATCTTATTTCAAAGTATTCAGTAGTCGAGACAGTTTTAAGAGTTTCATGGATGGTTTGACCCCTCTCTCATAAGCCTTCTTCTAAATCATCCTTCAAAGATAAAACAATTTCTCATGTTAAATTATGACTTCATTTTAAGACTGGGAAATGTAATTTAATTTCTGTTTTTTCCCTTTTGCAGGAAGTCACCAAAGCAGTACAGCCACTTTTACTGGGAAGAATCATTGCTTCTTATGATCCAGATAACAAGGCAGAACGATCCATTGCCATTTACCTAGCCATAGGTTTATGTCTGCTTTTTATTGTGAGGACACTGCTCCTACATCCAGCCATTTTTGGCCTTCACCATATTGGAATGCAGATGAGGATAGCTATGTTTAGTTTAATTTATAAGAAGGTAATACTTGTAGATTTTTTGTTTGTGTGTTTTGCATTTTTGTGATGCTGGAGATTTATCCCAAGACTTTGCATACGCTAGGCAAGTGTTTTACTGAGCTAGCTTGCACACTTCTCTGGTGTTCTGAATGGCATATTCTGATTTAGATAGTGAACTGATACAGGTAAGGATAAATGATGAAATTATAATTTCATGGGTCTGGGAAAGAAATGGCAAGAAAAAGGGATATTTTAAGTTTTCCTTGCTATCTCAATTTTCTTCAGCTGTTAATTACTAAGTGTCTTTGCAAACTAGCTGCCTATATTTTAGGTCTCGTTTTATGGCATGCCATTATTTTTTGTTGCTATTATTTTGTTTTTGTATTTTTCAGTGCTTAGGGTTGTACTCAGGATCTCCTAGGTGCTAAGCAAATGCTCTAGTGCTGAGCCATATCTCTAGCCACATCTTAAAAAATTCTTTGAGGCCATAGTTCCATGGTTCTTGGTTTCCTATAAAAATAACACACAGTCTGCATGAAAGTCATTGACCCAATATCTTAAGATAAAATGTCATTTGTCTTTATGCTCACTGACAAGGGCATAATATAGAATTGTTAATGATAACACAATCAATAAATGTTTCCACCCTAAGAAATTGTGACAGTGGTGACACAGTCACAACTGGCAATACTGATCCAATGAGTAAGATCTTTGTCATTCTGTGAGTCCAGTACATGCTTTAAAAGAACATCCTCTGCTTTTCTGAATGTATTTTCAAGACAAGAGCACAAGGTACTGAGGTATGATTTAGGTGTATTAACATGAGTATTGAGCTACTGACAAACACAACTGAAGGTCATTTCACCAATTGGATGCAATTTTCTCTCTCTCTCTTTCTCTCTCTCTGTCTCTGTCTCTGTCTCTCTCCCTCTCCCTCCCTCCCTCCTCTCTGCTCTCTCTGTCTCTCTGTCTTTCTCTGTCTCTGTCTCTGTCTCTCTCTCTATATGCTTGGCTCAATTTGATGCAATTCTCTCTATATATATCTGCTTAGCTCAATCAAGTAATTAAAGAAAGCCGTGTTTATTGAATTATTTGCATATTGCTTTATTCTTGTCTTTTTGCTTCTGCAGTGTAAAAACTTTATATTCTGGGCTTTATAAGGGCTATGGATCTGAAATTCATTTTTGGTGAATAACCCATAACACTTTCATGGCACATATACAAGGTCAATTGTGCAGTAAAATCTTGATAACTATACTTTATTGTTCAAAAAAGCCCTTTATGGAGGCAGGGGAGAAAAATATCAGAGCCAATGGTTTCATCAAATCTCCTTAGCTACAATTTCATCACTTTACAAGATCCAGGAAAACATGGGTGATAAATTAACAAACATTTTATTTTTATCCAGAAATTTTACATAAGTAATTATTAGACATCATTTGGAATGTGGAAGCTACACTGTTTCCCTTTAAAAACTCATTGAATTTAGTTTAACAAATATTTATAAAAAGCATTGCCATAATGATATTATCTGAGCATGTTCATGACATACTTCTAAGTGACTTAGGTGTGTGTTCCAATTTAATCCTTCCAGGAACTTTTAATGGTAGGTGCCATCATTCTTATTTTATGGATAAGAAAATGAAGGCCCAAAACATTGTGTAAAAACTACTACAAAATTTCAAAATAGGTTAATTACAGTCTCTGAAATGGAAGGGTTTCCAACAATTGGAAAAATCAAATAGTATTGGAATATAGAAATAAGGCAAAGTGGATGTGAAATCAAATAAGGAACATGATTAATTTCTAAGTAAGTCCCAAGGTAAAATTTAACTACAATACAGTAATATATATGTTTCAGATTCAAAACATTAGTATAAAAGTCAAGGCTAATGGATGTGTGTTTATTTCTCAGTAGCACCTATCTATTTTGATTTTATCTCAAGAGCCATACTTACTTGCCTACATTGGCATCATCATTAAAGGGTTCTATTGCGTTGTCATGTGACCCCTGATGTAGCCTTGTCTTGGCTACATTGCTCTCCTCCTTTACCCATCTGACCTTTGGCTGGGACTGAAAAAACTCTTCCTACAGTATTACAACTTTTATAACAGAGCACTCTTTTGCTTTGTTTAAAATCTTACAATCATATTATATGTGAAATAATGAATTTAAGTGAAACAAAGCTGCATTTATCTGTGAATTTTAAAAATGTATAGATAGCTAAATTTAAAAAGAAATCAATAAGTGCTTGCTATACCCATAGCTCTTATGTTTTATTTTATGCAGTATTCACAGGAGAATATTATTATATTTTACTTTTCTACTGAGTTGTTACATAGTTAAGTAATCCAGCTCAGTGGATCTTTGTCCCCACCCATCTATTGTTTTCATAATACTTTAAAATTAACTATTCTGATACCATTTTCATCTAAATACTATTCATTATGCTAAACCCACTGCTATAGAAGTCTTCCCAATTTTGTAGAAATGTTGATTTTCTCTGAACAACTCTTATTTTCTATTTTTCTTAAATCAAGTGTCATATCATTCTACTAAGTTGCCTTGAAGCAAGAATTGATTCAATAAATATAATCCCCTAGACTCAACTATGTGATTTGCATCTTCTAAGTGCTCAACAAATATGCAGTAGATTAAGTTGAGATAAATAAATATTAGACCTTTTATGTCTATACCACATGGCAGAAAAGCAATTCTTACTAAAGTTTACTGGCAAATAATTATTTTGCATTAGTGTGTTTGTGATAATTTATAATCATGATTCATTCCTCTATCTAGTAATTTTAAATCAATACTGTGTAGGTAAATAAGTAAATAATAACTTATCTAGCCATGTATCATCTCATGGATTCTTTTGGTAAAATCTGGACATTTTGTATTATTAATATAATCTTACACAAAATATTAATGATTTAATTCCACATAATATACTTCTGTTTATTTTAATATTAGTCTTACTCAAAGATTTGTGTAGTACTCTGTGAGAAGTTTAAAGTCAAGTTTTAAATTTCAGATCTCTGATTTAAGTTCCATCTTTTAAAATAAAAGCAAACCCAAATAAATCAAAATCCTCAAGTCACATTCTAAATAGAAATTTAATAAGACATCATTCTTATTTTGTAAGAGAAAAAAATAATTTCTACTGTCTTTATGCTGGAAAATAAAACAAGCAGAAGTATATCAGCATAATATTTGGTATTAAGATAGTTATAGGAAGTGGTGCTGTAGCTCAAGTGGTAGAGCGCTCGCCTTGAGCTGAAGAGCTGAGGGACAGTGCCCAAGCCCAGAGTTCAAGCCCCACTACTGACCAAAAAAAAAAAACAACAAAAATTTCGAATTTATAACATTATCTCTTTGTTGCTTTGTATGTCCCTCCCCCACAGTATAACCCCTGCTTTCAATATATTTGATG